TGGGGCAAACCGGCCCGCCCCCCGCCCCGGGAGCTGCCCCGCGGCTCCTGAGCCCGGGGAGGCTGCAGCTCCGCTCGGAGGGAGCGTCGCCGTCGCCGCTGCGGGGAGGCTGCGGAGACCCCCTGACTGCTACCCTCTGGTAGCAAACTCCCCAGTAATCCCTTAGAGCGAAATCCCAGGTATTCCCTGCATTCCAATTGCAGTCGCCAGTGAGTCACTGGAAAGCCCAAATGCCTCTTTGTTATAATTGTCCCTGATCCTGGTGGACAGAGGGGACACTACTGGTATTTAGTGACAAAGTTGTGGGCACGGTAACTTTGCCCAAGCGCGGCTGCGTTCAGCACTGCTCCGTCGGCTCCTGTTTCCTTGCCATTAGCTTAAGGAGAGCGCGGGGAGATGAGTCATCGAGTCAGGCACCCAAACAGGCTCCAGGCTGCGCTCCTTCCTTCCCTCCTTACTTGGCATCACAAGGTCGGGGGCTCGCAGGAGGCCGGGGGGCTGCGCTGTGCTGGGGGCCTTTCCGAGCCCAGGCCGCTCCCAGGGCTCCAACAATTTCCAGAAGAAAATACTCACGCATATTTATTATGCTCCGGGAAGCGTTAGCCCTGCCGTGTGTTACCGTTCAGCCGAGGCTCCATTTCGCACCACGGAGGTCCCCGGCCTGTGGCGCAGGCCCCGCCGGCTCTGCCGTGGCCTCGGTGCCGATGGCACCCATGGGAGCCGGAGCATGCGGAGCGTCCGGGCGCTGCTTGTCACACGGCTGGGTAGCGGGGAGCCCCTGCCTTATCCGCCGGCGTCGCTCCCCGGCCACGGGCTGCCCTGGGGAGATATTCTTAAGCCCTAACGGACAACACAGGTCGCACCAGCTCAGCAAAGCTCGCTGCAGTGAAACTGGTGATTACCAATGAAATGGGTGTCCCCTGCTCCAGAGCCCAAACCAGGCCCTGTTATCACAAACTTCGAGTTCCAGGGACATTTAACTCTGCCATTTCTAATGGCAAAATAACACAAATGCATTGGCACAAATGCAGACCTCATAAGACTTTTCTTAAAATTTCTCAGCCACTGGAAGAACTGAAAGCCAGGATTAACTGAACATCAGTGGCATTGATTCCAGGGAATGGCATCAGAATTCCAAGTTTCTTCAGATAGGGCCGATGGTGACTCCAGCCACGTGCTCCCCTGCCTGTGTGTGCAGGGAGCACTCGCACACGCTCCCACGTTGGGGCGCAGCGCAGAGGGAGGCTGCGTCTGCCGCCGAGCGTGGGCATCGCTGCCCAGGTCGCCCCGGGCCTTGCCATGCATCAGTGCCAAAGCGCACGCCGGGCTTCAGGCCGCAGCGGTGCAGGGAGTGCGGCCACATCTGGCTGAGAGGCAGCGGACTCACGCAGAGCTCCACGTTTGAGCTGCGGTGAATGTGAATCAAGGATAATTGCTGCTCTGCTTCCTTTGCGGCGGGGAGGAGGAAACGTAGCAGCTACCCTTGTGATACAGGAAGGAGCAAATCGACCAGTGGAGTATAGAAACACTTTGCAAGTATTGCCCTGGACATGTATCATTCTTAAATTAGACCCAAAAATGAAAAAAAGCTCCTATGGTCTGTTAGAGTTGTGTAATAGGGCTAAGGGATAGCAAGCGCTGGTGGAGGGAAGGCATGAAGTCCTTGGAGTACGAGCTTCTTGCGGGTTGTGGTTTTACAGTCACAGCTTTGGTGCGTTTGGCTTCTTGGAGACCTGGGCAGCTTGGTGGCATTTTGTACCTCCTGGTCTTGGACTTAGAAACCTGAATGCTGAGCACGGGTCTCTCGGGATGCGTGCCAGGTTGCAGCTCATATGTATCTCGCCGTGTTGTAACAGGCGTTACAGCAGTGTAAGCTGTAAGCACTACGTGAAAAGCAGACAGAAGGGGAGGAATGAGAAACCAAAGGGTTTCCACCCTCTCTTTTGCCTCTCTTCCCACTTCACATTGATATCTAGGATATATGACACAGTGGAAATGGAGGCTAAACCAGCGCTGTCACTGTCCTAGCTCCCCCTTTCCTCCCACTCTGCCTTTTTGCATATTTCGTAACAATATTTCTGCAGCAAACAGTGAAGCTCGGCTGCTGTAGGGTGTCGTCACCGGCCCATAAGTCACTCTCTGCTCCGTGACCATCAGCACGGGCTGATCCGGAGCGCAGGGCCGGGGCTGTGGAGCAGGCGAAGCCTCCGCAGGACGGTCCCGTGGCGCTGCTGGTGGAAACGGGGGCCAGACGCTGTAGTGAAACGGGAGTTCACAGGAGACCTAGCAGCAGGAGTTTCTGGTTCCTACGGGACAAATTACCCCTGTTTCTACTGTAATGGGATGTGGATAGGTTATGGGTAGATATAAAAGGAATAAAAGTTAAGATTCAATAGAACAGTAATGCAGGTAACTTGCACTGAAAAACAAAGGTCGCACACCTTTGCAGTGCAGTAGTTGACTTAGATTAAAACATTCCGTAAGGGGTCTTGCATGGTCCTGCACGGTTGTGGTTCCTGCCAGTCTGTCTTTGCTGTGTCACACTGTTTTGACCGGATCCTAGGGACTCCTGAGCACCTCTGAGTATGCAGCTGTTCTGGTTTGGAAGAAGTGGGAAATGAAGCATAAGGTGGGGAGAGCGGCACATTGGGCTGTTCCTTCATTTGGGCTGTCCCTTCGCCTCTGTGCTGCTAGGGATGAGCGAGGGGTGCTTGGGTGGAGGAGGTGCCCCTGGTGTGTGGTCCCCCCTGCCATGAGGGACAGCAGAAATGGTCACTTTGCAGCTTTTATTACCACCTTCCCATCTTCACTGAACACCCAGAGCAAGATCCTGGCAGAACTGCGTCTCCCCTTGACATTTCTGTTGTTTGGGAGCTAGTTTAACTAACAGTCAAGAGAATAAATTCTTTATATATTCACACTGTATTGATAGCCTTATCCTTGGTGTCCTCCCATGCTTATTGAAAGAAAATGCCTTAAAACCATTAATCAACAAATAAGTACATCACTATTCAGGTCGCAGTGTTCCAGTGATTCATAATTAGACCTAAGTGTTTCAAGCTGCCTGATCTTCCCCTTTGAAATGAGATGGAGAGACCTCTTGCCAACTATCCCATTATAGAAAAGGCTCTGGTCCATGAGCGAAGGGGATGGCCGGGGCTCGCTGAGGAATGACCTTATAATTTGGTTGTAGAAGGTCACTTCTGGAGGTGGGCGTACCCCTATGCTGTAAACGGTTGCTACTAGTACATGGTCAGAGTCTGCATTTCTTTCTGAAGAAATAGCTTTCTGTGCTGAAATAGCTTTGTGGACACCTGGATTCGAATTAGGAAATAATCCTCAGGCACTCTTCCCTTCTGATGTCATTCGATCTTTTTTTAGAGTTGGAATATTATAAGGATCAAGACGAAAAGCCTTAATAAAATAAGTGACCTGATGAGTAATGCCCCTCGCTGTCCAGAGGAGCCAAAATTAGCATCCTGTCCAGGCAGGCAGGGCCAGGGGGAGGACGAGGCTGCCTCCAGAGGCACGGGGTGCAGTTTTAAAAGTCAGCCGCCATCCGGCCCTGCACGCGTGGGGCTGGTTTCTTAGGGGCTGTCACGGGAGACGAGGACACAGTATAAGAGGGATGAGGAGCTTCTAGAGAGGGTCCAGCGTAGAGCAACAAAGATGATTAAGGGACTGGAGCATCTATTGTGTGAGGAAAGACTAAGTGAGCTGGGCCTGTTTAGCCTGGAGAATAGAAGACTGAGAGGGGATCGGATCAACATGTACAAGTACCTGAGGGGAGAATGTAGGGAGGATGGGGCCAAGCTCTTCTCGGTGGTGGCCAGTGACAGGACAAGGGGTAATGGGTACAAGTTGAAACACAGGAAGTTCCACCTCCATGTGAGGAAGAACTTCTTTCCTGTGAGGGTGACAGAGCCCTGGCACAGGCTGCCCAGAGAGGCTGTGGAGGCTCCTTCTCTGGAGATCTTCCAAACCCGCCTGGATGCCACCCTGTGCCACGTGCTCTGGGTGTCCCTGCTGGAGCAGGGGGGTTGGACTAGATGATCTCTAGAGGTCCCTTCCAACCTCAACCATTCTGTGATTCTCTGATTCTGTGACACGTGTGGCGGAGACGTCTGTCTCAGCAGCGTGCCGACCCCGCTGCTCTGGGGAACACTCCGTCCGTGACGTGGCCGTGGTGCCTCCTCCTCCATCCCAAAATCCCGCTGAGACCCGTGGGCTGCTCAGCTGCAGGAAAAATGACCTATGCTGGGACATGCAAAACGTGATATATGAGAGTGCTTTAGGATGTGTCTGCAGTCATAGGCCCAGATCCAAGCGAGTTCATAGGCATCCACTTCCCATCGAGATGCCAGCCACCTCTTAATTTCCTGTGCAAGAACCTAATCAGGCCTAGAGACATCAATCAAGTGAGATAAATGGGGTAGGTAACACAAACGTAGCTATGTGCCTATAAAATCTCTATTTTTATATTTTTGAAAAAAAAAGTCAGATTAGAGCAAATAACACACAGACTGTGTTGTCCCACAGAATAATTTATATGTCAAAAAACACAGAAATGCATTTAATAGTACTCAGGGCAGCATTTGCCTTGTTTTGCAGTGATTTAATTGAAGAAAGACACTCTAAAGACAAATTACATTCCTCTCCAGCCAAAGCTTTCTTCATATTAAAAGAGATGTTAATGATGAGTCCCCAAGGGAAAGATAACAGTTAATAACGTCAGGTTACACAAAAAAGTCTTTGTACTCCCTTGCTATTTTTTGTATTGCTGCATCTAGGGTTTGTGAATGTGGACTAAGACTGTGCTAGAAGCTGTGAAAGCACAGAATAAAAATGCTTCTTGTCCTGCTGCCAATCTTTAAGTTGATAATAAAAATGGATATATGTTATCCTTATAGCAGAGAAGCAAGCTTAAAACAAACCTTGAAATAGGTGCACTAGGGCCTAAAATAAACTTCTTGTTAAGAAAGCTATGTACAGAGTAATCATCTCAGGCAAATGGAAGAAAATAAATGAACATTATAATAATTTCTTAACACATGTTTTGCATAATGTTAAATACTGATCTCATGAAAATAATTTTGATACACTGTAGGTACGTGCACGTCTCAAATGGTGAACAAGTAGAACATTTTTGAATAACCTATAGAATCCTCTTGATTTTGAACCTATGACATTAATAGACTTTTCACATTGCAGCAGTTAAGGAAAACATACTCTGAATTTTGTGTACCTGTTGGTTTGGCAGGGAGATGTCAGCTTGAACGTGCTAATCAACAAAGCATTTTCTTTCCTCCTTGGGGTGCGTAAGCAGAATGCCATGTACAAAGCAAGGAGTGATATTTTTTCCTGCTTGTTATGTCTACCATACTGCTAGTTGAAAATAGTGTCTTTTCCGTTCTGAGGGTTTCATCTTTAAGAATAATGTGGATCAATTAAAATATTTTAAATGATATAAAATTATCTGAATGCTTAAAATGCCACAAAAATGTTTGAAATTTAAAAATTTGCCTTAGAGTGCAAGGTTGCCGGTCCGTGTAACGTGTCCAAGCTGAGGTTACTGGGAGACTTGGCTGAAGCCTCTGGTTACTTGGACACGGAAAGGTGGCTGGTAACGGGAAGGAGCCTTGTCTGTGCCCAAGGGGAAAGGCGCAGGTGGGCCCTCTAGTTCAGAGCGGGACTAAGGGCATGCTGCTTGGGCAGCGTGGCAAGGGGTA